GAGAGTATGTCCCAGCTCTTGTTCCCATAGTTCACAATTGTTATGTTCATATCATAGATCTTTATACTCGTGTTTTCTGGCCTTTGTGTGTCAGTAACTGCTCTTCTGTCTTCCCTATTTTCCTGAAATATTGCGGCTTTTACAGCAGATATTGGAGTGCCCATTTCCAAGTCAATTTCAGGCTTATCACATTCAGGTTTAGTTGCCTTGTCTGTGTCATCATACTGGACAACACCCCATGTGAAATGGTATCCATAAAAAATGACTCCAACTCTTGCTCTATGCATTAATAATGTTATTTATAATGGATGTTACAACATTACTAGTATCTATTTTGCAAGTCGGGTTTTTAGGGGGACCAAGGGAAAGTTCTAGATTTGAGATATGTAAATGTCACTACTATCTTCGAAAACTGCAGAAAACTATCGACCTATCAGCCTGACCTCATATATGCAAGCTCATGGAGGGAATCATTCATCACCTCACAGTCCACAATATAGTAAAATCAACGCAACATGGTTTTGTTAAAAAATAAACCTTGTCTCATCAGCCTGCTTACATTTTTTGTATGACGGTAACTAGCAATTCAGACAAAGGACTTAGAGTAGATGTAACGTACATGGACTTCACTAAAGATTTTAATAATATTTCATTGTGTCGGGGGACAGAAGCCAGAATGTCTTCATACACATTAGGCTTTCATCTAGGTCCTCCCCCTCCCATCTAAGGTCGAATTACTGACCCCACGCAGGATGCAACCCCCACAAGAAGCTGACTAACTCCTGGGTACCTTCTTGCAGTTAGGTGAACAGGAGCATTAGGTGAAAGGAAATGTGCCGAACCATTTCTGTCTCGCCCGGGATTCGAACCAGGAATTCGCGCTTGTGCGTCGAGAACGAACCCGACTGTAGTACTGGGACCCTTATTTTGATAAGGAACCAAATCAAAGATTGACAAGGAAATTATATTAATTAAATTAAATGTTACATTCTAACATTTAAGGAATAAATGTTAGAATGGTTGAAACAAAGAAAGTGGTACTCCACTTATGATTGGAAAACTAGTGGCCTTTCACTAGTAACACTTCTCCAGTCAGATTCATTTCCTCTAATGGCTTGGCGCTTCTGATAATTCCTTCCTTCCTCTAGTTACGACCCTCGTCTTTGTCGGAAAAGATGTATCAGCAGTTTGCCTGCCATCTCCAGCATGTTCCAGTTTCCAGAACAACCTCCTGTGTTGTACTCGGTCAAAAACCTTATTTAGTTCCAGATAAACCCGTTTCATCAACCCAACCATTTTGCTTTTTCCTGTACAATTTGTGTAGCTCTGCCATAAAAATTAAGTGGATCTATTACACAGGATCTTCCTGTTCGAAAATTGGGTTATAGTTTAGTGTGTGTGTGTGTATGTATGTGTATTCACCTAGTTGTGCTTGCGGGGGTTGAGCTCTGCTCTCTGGTCCCGCCTCTCAGATGTCAATTAACTGGTGTACAGCCTGAGCTTATTGGGTTCTATCATATCTACATTTAAAACTGTGTATGGCGTCTGCCTCCACCACATCACTTCCTAATGCATTCCATTTATTAACTACTCTGGCACTGAAAAAGTTCTTTCTAATATCTCTGTGGCTCATTTGGGTACTCAGTTTCCACCTGTGTCCCTTCGTGCGAGTACCATCCGCGTTAAATAATTTGTTTCATACCTTTTAGTTCTGGGACTAATCTAGTGGCATATCTTTGAACCTTCAGCTTCAAGTTATGGTTCACAAGATATGGACTCCATGCTGGCGCCATACTCTAGGATTGGTCTTACGTGGTGTACAAGGTTCTAAATTATTCCTAACACAAATTAGCTAGCCTCGCATATGCCGCTGACGATACCCTTTGATGTGGGCTTCAGGAGAAAGGTTCAGTGTGTATATGATGCAGAAACGTAGCCATTTATATAGTCTAGTGTAGCACTTCAAGTCTAAATAGTGTAGGCTACATAAATTGTTTCTGTATTTTGAATTGTACTCCTATATTTATACGTAGCTAGGCTTGTTTAGTCATGGTCTTTAATACGGTCATAATCTAAGGTTGTTTGGTGTTATCCATAAGTGGACTTCTTTTTTTTTAATTCCTTTGTTGTTATATTGCTTAGGGTGTGTTGGGACTAAAGCGTCGCTATTTTCCGATGCTTGGGGTCGGGTGTTAGCCCCGTTATTGTTATTGTCTGCAACATGATTAAGGTAGCCTATATAAGCTGTACAGTAGGCCTAAATAGGCTATACAGCAGACCTATTTGGGCTATGAAGCAGGCCTATATAGGCTGTATAGTAGGCATATATATATATATATATATATATATATATATATATATATATATATATATATATATATATATATATATATATATATATATATGTATATATATATATATGTATATATATATATATGTATATATATATATATGTATATATATATATATGTATATATATATATATGTATATATATATATATGTATATATATATATATATATATATATATATATATATATATATATATAATGTATATGCATATGTGTAATTTATATAAACAGGCTTATATGTGACTAACTAGGTGAGTATGTGTAGGTTAGACGACAGCTATACTATCAGCCAATGTATAGTAAGCAATAATATATAGGTTTAATTTGATAAAATAGCAAGGGCAAGGGAGAAGTGGGCATGTTGGGTAACTTGGTGGAATCTTGATGCAGAGAGCTACCCCTCTCACTGGCGGCGAGAGGGGGCAGCCTTCCAGGAGAGAGTTGAAACAGGCTGGAGCAAGCCGGCCATGGCAGCTACGTCACCCCCAGGCCGCTCCCCACCCCTCCCCCACACAACCCATCCCCGCTAACAATGACCAGTTCACACCTGAACTACTCTCAAATTACCCGACTCGTATGTCCTTTATAATGACCATCATATTTCTGAAGATATTAACAAACATTTCTTAATTGTAATATTTTGTTCGTTTAAAACGATGATGATCAAGCATCGTTAATATAAAACCATTGTATAATTATACTATAAATATCGAAATATTTATATCATAATATAGTAACTACAATCTGTATAACAGTATTAACAAATAATTGTAATGTAAACTACTTTATTTATCTACAATATTAATTTTTAAGCATCATTGATATAAGAGCAAGTCTGCTGCAAATTAGGAAATTATGCAAATTAAGAATAAGTATATACGGGAGAACTAGACAATAAAAATATATTAATACAGATTATAATTACAAAATATTTGTATTGATGTTATTTACTCTATATTGAGTTCTCATCATAAATCGTATGAGGTACTTTGAGCTCTGTAATTATTTCATACAGTCAGGAATATTGGAAGACATTCTGCTATACCCAGAGTTTGCTAGTGGGGGCTAATAGATCAGCCTTACATTTCTCTCTCCTGACTCCATATATGACTAACCATCCTGTGAGATGGGGATATTAGATGAATTTATAGCTAGTTTTTGATCTACACTGTGTAATCTTTCATATAGAATAGGGTAGCAACACATTGCTGTCTATACCTAAGCTTGTCAATAAAACAAAAAACTGATCGTACGTACACTGGGACGTTTTGTACGTACCAGTGAATAAATAAATAATAAATAAGTACCAATAAATAAATAAAAATATTTAAGGTAAAAGTACATACATACAAAATACAAAACTATGCCTAAAGCCATACACACAGCGTTTCGGGCTAGATGCGAGGAAAAAAAAATAAAAACGAAGACCTAAAACTGATATCAAAAGCATGAAATTGAACTGAGGTAGAAAAGAAATACAATAATTCCATGTTGCATGGAACAGCAGAAATTGTAACAGAACAGCAGATAATAAATCTAACTAAATAAACAGACGGATTACAATTATATTTAAATTTATATATGACAGATATCAGCCGTTTTACAAGTTAGTCATTAATTATTACAAGTTAATCATTAATTATTATAGGTTAATCATTAATTATTACAGGACAATCATTAATTATTAATTATCTTAATGTTTGATAATAGTAAGACATAGGTTGACATTTTGGAGGTAAGGTAGGGTACATGGAGTTGATTAGATAGTACTTAGTTTTCTCTTAAACTAGTTGAGAGAGGGGCAGTCTTTGACATAATTGGAAAGGTCGTTCCACCATTTGGTCTGTAATAATTGATAACAGGGCAATCACATGCATGGTGATGGAGAGTATGTCCCAGCTCTTGTTCCCATAGTTTACAATTGTTATGTTCACCATTGGGGGATTCATTACCTGCAGCCACCTGCCATAGATATCGATATGCCAGTCTAATCTTGTCAAATTACAATGTCACATTGTCTAGTGGATGTTTTATCCTGCCTTTATATATAATTCTCTGTTCTAAACATATCATAGCTCTTAATTTATACTGGTGTTTTGTGGCCTTTGTGTGTCTGTAACTGCTCTTCTGATTCTTGTAATGTTATTTCTCTATTTGTACTCACTGCATTTGTGCGCCCCTTGAGGGACTTGAAGTAGAAGGGGGTAGAAATAGCCTAAGCTACTCTATCCCTTTGAGATGTATTTATTGCTTATCTCAATAAACAAACTTGAACTTGAAGTAACTGCTCTTCTGTCTTCCATAATTTCCTGAAATATTGCGGCTTTTACAACAGATATTGGAGTGTCCATCTCCAACTCAATTTCAGGCTTATCACACGCAGTTTTAGCTGCCTAGTCTAAGTGAGAAACCAATGAAAGGGCGGATTTCATCCAAACTTTTAAAATACTGAACAAATTGGAGGATGTCGATGCATACAATTTCTTGAAAAAGTTCGATGTGACAAAACAAGGAACAATAATATTAAAGGTTTCAAGCTTAATAAGCCACAAAAAAGGACAACAAATAGGAGAGGCTTTTTCATCCAGATGGTTATAAACCCGTGGAACAGCCTACCCGCCGAAGCCGCAAATGCCAAAACTGTTGAATATTAAAATCCAACAAGACTAGTGTGTAAAGGAACGACCGGCGGGAGGACGATGTGCTACAAGAACGCCTCCGGTGTTGTTGTTGTCCCGCCCGGGTCATGCCTCGGTCATGATGCTCCTGCGGTGTGTGTTACCCTCCACCTCCAGGTGAGACGCATACTTCCTTATATGACGTAGAGATACATTACTACCATTTAAGGTGTGGGGTATGAGCCACAGGTGTCCGCTGTAGTAACACTACACTACACATCTCCAGCATCATCACGTACAACTCTGAGGTCCGGCAAGCGGCAAGATTGGCTCTACTAGCTTCAGTAATAATTTTATTATATAAATAAAATAATAATAAACATAATAATGTTATAATATAATAATATTAATTATTTAATCAAAAGCACATACATAGGATACAAGATTTGTAAGATTCATAGATTAGGAAATTACAGGTGAGTACTATTGCCTAAAGCCACTAATACGCAGAACGTTTCAGACATACCTTTACCATTGGTATATTCTATCTGCTATGCACGAATCTCAAATATTTCACAAATTTGTTGTTGATGTTGCAGCACTGCGCAACATCCTTTCTCCCACATCATCTATGACCCTGGTGCATGAGCTCATCTAGCCCACCACCACCAACCCAGAAAACAATGACCATATCCATTTCTCTCCTGCAGCACCTCCCAGTCCTACCATACTATGTGTGTGTCTCACCCTAGTAACAAGCATTACAAATACAAATTAGCTTGACACTGTACTTCTGACATGGTCATGGTCAACCAAATGGAACCATGCTTGGCTGGAATGTTTTTCTCTTCCTGATATTTTTCCTGTAGTTCCCAACCAGATCAAATCCTTACTCAGAGTTTCCAAGTAGAATGGATCCATGCTGGTCTACCCGGAGATTCCTGAAAATGAAGTCCATTCAAGTGGAGTCTGTATGCAAGGCAGTTGTTGAGCTACTGATGTACTGTACTGGTTTTAATTTGTCTATTGTATGGTGCATTTTTGTTAGTACATAATATACTGATTAAAATATTTTAAGGTAGAACAGAACTGATAATTGGTTAAAAATATTTCAGATTTTTTTTGACTACACAAAATGGAGAGCGGTACATCTCAACAGCTGCAGCACCTCTGTATTTCAGGCTCACACAAGTTGTTGGGTAAGTTGATGAGCTCAACTAGAGTACTGTATGGTCATTGTAGCTTAATGCTTCATAACTTGCAGATTTTATTTAATTTTGTTTTGCATAATTTAAAATGTTATCATGCAAAATGTTACTGCCAGCTGTATTACTACAGTACAGTACTTGTAAATGAGAATACAGTATTTTTTACACTTAATCTTATTCATAAGAAATCAAAATATAGGTACAATATCAGCAGAAATTTATTGGCTTTCAGCTAACCACTCTGGATAGCTCCACACCTATCAAATTGCACCTTGTGAGTCAATAAGAGCCTATTAGAAACCAGAAGATAAAACCTTGTCCCCGCACAGAAACACAAGGCACGGGGGGATGCTAGACCCTCATAATCAAAGAACAACAGCCACCAGAAAGGTAGAGCAAGACAAAATAGACAGGAGTAAAGCAAAGTAAACAAAACAGACAACAAGACACTCAGCAGTTAGGTAGCTTCACTACTGTAGTTCCACCTTCCCACCATTAGGTGACAGCATTGAGAGCTGGTGGCTCAGTTGTGAGTTTGGTGTTGTGAAATGAACTGTGCTCCCCTGTGGCTTCAGATGGCTCGGGTTCTGTATTTTTCCTAGATAAGTGAAGGTCATCCTTTAGACTGTAATGTTGGGAGCCCATTTGCTTGTGTATTTGTTCCATATTTTAGTATTTACTTCCCATTCGTGTATTTGTATGCGTCATTTCTTGTGTGGACTCAGAAAAACTCACCTCAAACAGCATGTCTAGAATTTGCCTTCTTTCATTGGTGTTCACTGGTGTTGCCCATTCACTGACAGCGTTATCTTTCCTGGTGGGTTCAGGTGGCTGTCCCTGAGAGACCATTTTTCTGTGGAAGGTACCTCATTCTGGGTAGTGCACAGGATTTTGACTCCTCTGTGAGGCTTTTTCAAGGTTTTTCTTACTTGAAGTGTAGTGCAAGGGTTTATGGGCTTGTTTCACAGTGCGCTGCTCACACCTTGTTTCTTACCTCTTGCCCTTTTCAGGTTCCAGGATTTGGTGGGTTCAGCATTACTGTTTCTGTGATCAGGGCTCCACTGGCTATACAGTACTTGGTTCTCTGTGGCTCAGTTGGCTTGCTGATGGGCTGTCTTTACCCATATTTAGTTATGACTTGGACTTGGTTCCTTTCCCTGGTGTCTCCCTCCCCCCCCTCTTCCCTGTTTGTCCTTTTGGCAGTAGCTGCTCACTGTTTATATCTTGGTGGCCTTCTACCATGGGTTTTTCTGGTTAAGTTCTGTCATCCTGGAGGTGGTCTTCTGGGGTTCAGTCTCCACTTTTCCCTCGTGGGGTAGATGTTTGATGCTGCCTTTTCTTGCAGATCACCTCTTGACGATATTTTGCATTGGGGTCTGGCCTGTGGCCTAAGGGTTGGGGGTGGTTGACTTTCAGTCCTTCCCTTTCTTTCTTAATGTGGATTTGAGGATTGGCCTATCCCCTACAGCTCCATTCAGTCTTTGAGAGTTGGTGGGATACCTTACCGTACCTTGAGGTTACCTTGAGGTGCTTCCGGGGCTTAGCGTCCCCGCGGCCCGGTCGTCGACCAGGCCTCCTGGTTGCCGGACTGATCAACCAGGCTGTTGGACGCGGCTGCTCGCAGCCTGATGTATGAGTCACAGCCTGGTTGATCAGGTATCCTTTGGAGGTGCTAATCCAGTTCTCTCTTGAACACTGTGAGGGGTCGGCCAGTTTTGCCCCTTATGTGTAGGGATGCTTGAGGTTTGGTTTTCCTGCAGCTTTTAGTGGGTTTCTGTTCTTTTCCTTCACTTTGTTGGTTTCTCTGGCTCTGCGATTCATTTTCATCATCTTAGGTTGCATCCCTATTCATTTCTGTGCCTTCTCACTTAATCTTTTTCCTTTTCTCTTGGCCTTGTGGGCAATCTCTTGGTTTGTTTTCTGGTTCTGTGGGCTGCTCCTTGGTCTGTCCTTTTTTAGTTTTCAGGACCATACCCTTTTTTTGTTGGGGCATTCTCACTTACCTTCTCTGATTCTTTCCTTTGTCTGCTTCTGGCTCCTTTGATTTATGCCACTGCGCCTGATTGGCCTCTTTGGCAGTTGTGGTTCTGTGTTTAGACTTACTTTGATGACTGGAGCTTCTTTCCAGTTTGCATGTCTGCAGGCAGGGGTCTTTATGGTATGTCTGATGCTTATTCCCATCACCCTTTGCACCTCCAATAGACAGGTGGGGGAGGGGAGCCTTTTCGTCATTCCCCCTCTGGTGGCTTCTACCAGCATTAGCCCCTTGTTAGTTTTCTTTCATGTTCCTTCCTGTGGGTTCTGCCCATTCTATTGCTGTCTGTAGTCCTTGTTTCTCTGTGGGTTTTCTCCATTGTCTCTCTTGTTTTTACTTCATCTGCTGGCTGGGGAATCTGGCTTTTCCTGGCTGCCCTGTTTTGGGTTCTTGGTAGCCTGACATGGTTTCCGGCGGGTTCCATCATGGGCTAATTCTTAGCTGGTTCCTGTGCTGTTCATGCTATTATTTATGCTCATTTTTATTTGCATGCTGTGAGTGGTTGGTGATGTGCTGAACACAAATACTTATAATTGTTTTACATTTGTGAGGTTATTTATTGTAGTATATTTCTGTAAGGGCCCCCGCTCAGTAGCTCCTTGAGCCTTAAGGAATCTGAGATCCACCAGAGTGTACCGGGATCCCGGACCAGAATCTGGCTGTTTTATGAAGCGAGGGCAGCTTAGGGATCATATATCAGCTCAAAACTGACAAGGGACCTACCAGAAAGTATAAGCACATTGAAACAAGCAACTACATAAAAGGAAACTAGTAACCCTGAGGAAACAAAACAAATGATTGTTGCCGAGGGGTTAACACGCCAGCCATAACACTCATGACTGCCACTAGCTGGCAGTCCTGGTCACAGCTGGGTTCCATGCCAGCCACCCATCTCATTCACTCACTTGAGAATATGACGTAGAGTAAGTCCAACTACAGGTGCAGTGGTGTAAGGTAAAAGTAGTATGTGGATCCCTAGGAAGGATTATTATTGTTATCTTGGATTCGAGGATTGAGTTGTTTAACAGTATGTGATATTATCCAGTAATTTAACCCTTCAATCCATATGTTTTATTAATTTTTACCTCTACTTCATTTCTTAGTTTTCCTCAAGATGTGTGGATGAGGGGCATGTTGACTCGTATTGAATCAGTGTATTAAACACTTTCAATGACACTATTTGAAAGCTTTGTAATTATTCACTATATGCCTTTTCATTTCATCAATCATCTCATATTTACTTGTAATATTTCCATTGCATATTATCTGTAGTCACTGAGTTACATTACTAAATGCTGTATACTCTACAGTATATATATTCTTTGACCATTGTGGACAATTTATAGGATGTATATATACAGTATAAAACTATTTTGACATCTTATTCCTAAAATATACTTGAAAGCTAAATGCTCATTTCAATTTGCAGAGCTGAACCCCTAAAGAAAAAGAAAAAGCTGGATCCCCAGATACTTCGTCAAAGAGAAGAACGCAAAAAAAAGAAAATTGAGAAGGCAATTCGCCGGTTAGAGAAGAATGCTGGGCAGCTAAAGCCACTTGATGAACTTGAAGTCCCACGTACTATTCTTCAGGAAATGGAGTAAGTGTATTTTCACCGAAGTAGGGTAGTTTTATAACAATGTATGAAACAAACTTTTCCAAACATTTAAGTTATCTGGCAAATATCGCAGACGGATATTTTTTGCCTAACTTTTGCCATATCTGAATAGCAATTTGGATAACTAGAGATTTTGCCGGATACCATAGACAGGCATAGGGCCTAAATCAAGTCTGGATGAGTTTGTCAATTTCACCATATCAGGACAAAAATGAGGAAAACCAGAGATTTTACCAGATACTGTACTATAGAGAGGCATTAGACCATAAAGCATTAATCCTGTACAGCAGTGGCTCAAGGTACAGGGGTATGGGAGGTGTTGGGGTGGCTGGTTTCGGGGTAGGTGGTGTCAGGAGAGAGGGAAGAGTTGGGAGGGACTGTGGCAGGGAATGAGGGTCCTGTGATCTGTATTATATGGAACAACCAAGAATTATGTTAGAATAATTCATTACAGTAAAAACTAAAGAAATATTATCTAATATAACAAATACAAATCTAATATAAATACTATATAGTACAAAATTATAAACTATGTGTATAGTCTGAAGATCTGTTTCCTACTAAAATTTAGGGGATTTTCTTCTGGTGGTGGCCTATGTAATGTGCCTGCTTGCCCCAAATGAACCTGTCTAGGCCTAGTCAAGCTAAACTGCCATATATCATACTGATATATGGCCAGAGGAGAGAGGGGGGGAAAAGGCATACGGTGTGATGACGATGACACTGATGACACTTTGGTCAATGGCATACATGAGAGTTTCATAGGCCATTGCTCCCTTGCTCCATCTGAGGGGACCATGTTCTGGCTAGTGGTCCCCAGTAGGCATGACAACTTATGACTGAAGCCCCGTACTAATATTAGCTACTATCAGTCCAATAGCTCCAGAAAGCCTCTGGGGCTCTACACAGAAAATGCCGTTTCATTACATTCAACGCTGGTTTTTTGCAGTTCCTTGGAATGTGACCTTGGGCCGATGCATCAGTGCTGTGCACAAATGCTCAAGTTCATTTCACCATCACATTACTGCTGCATGCATACTTGAGTTGTTTGCTACGACAGGCAATGACACTTATTTTACCAATATGTCATTTCTTTACCCTTAATACTTGGGATATATTTTACTCAACCCTGGATATGACAGTGGTGAATTTTTCCCTTGCTTGACTGGTTGCAACTGGGCACCGAGGCTTCGATGGCAGTTCGAGTTTTGGGTGCAAGATGATACATAAGCCAAAATTTACTAGACTATCCCCCAAGAAGCACTAGCTAGCACAAGGGAAACAATGTTAAGGGGGGTGGGGGGGGAGGACCTAGTATTGTTTTTATTGACTTTCACCAAGATAACTCCTAGCCACACCTTGAATACCTGTATATTGCACATTCTCATCACCATTCCTCTAGAATGTTCTTGGAAAACACTAAGAACATCTGTCGGGCTTCCAACTAGCTGTATGCCGAATAGGAAATGTATTGTTAGAGGTTGTGATGAAATACATGTTACTAATTATAATGTTAGAGTAGCATTTTATTTCAGACTTACCCAGTATATCTACGGAGGAGGATGTTAGGGGAGGCAGTGTCAGTGGTTGAGGTGTTGACAGTGGTTGAGGTGTTGACAGTGGTTGAGGTGTTGACAGTGGTTGCAAATGGTGTCACTGGTCAGGGTCATGTCAGTGATGGGGTGAGGTATCAGTTGGTGGTGTGGGGGGGGGGTGATTGTTGCATAATTCCTTAGTACAGTGTATATATTTACAACAAGGTGATCATAGGCATCAGATGTAAGGAAATGTGCCCAAATGTCTTCATCCTGCTGCAGGAATGGAACTGGGGACCTTTGGGTTGTGTACTTTCTGTGCTAACACTTACACTGCACAGCACAATTGTATTGAGAATATTATTTGTAGATAAATCAGTTGACCAACTGATTTGAAACATAACTTTAGCTGCATTCTTAAATTTTATATACTGTGCTGTACTACTTATATTTAGTTTATATACAGTACTTGATTTCAACAGTACAGTACTGTGTATACATATACATAATTGTTTAACATGAGCCAAAAGAGGATAATATCATCTAGTAAAAAGGTAAGAACTCTGTTTCCTTGTCTTTTAGGCTCATCAGATGAGTTATTAAAGCAAATAGCAATTGATTACAAATATATGCTGGGTTAGATGAAAGCAATTAAATAAATATTGACTAATTGCATTTTGAAGGATACAGTACTCTGTTTTTGTAGTACTTTTATGGATAATGCAATGTGCTTATTTTACATTAGTTGACATTCTTCAGAGCAATAATTGTATTTCACAGGATTCGCAAGAGACCTGCAGGTCCCATAACAGAGAAGATTGAAGAGGAACGTGTTTTATTGAGTAAAAAGTGGGCAAATTACAAGTACCAGCAACATTTGACTGAAGTCACCATGATTGAACGTATTATTTCCTCCAGAGATCGAGCCTTAGAGGTACTGTATGTAGAAAACCAAGACAAGTCCCTTTGTTAAGTACTGTTCGTAGTTTATATTGGAGTCTCAGACATGGTTAGGAAGAGATTGACTTTAAATCTTACAAGTACAATGCATCGGGCTCTCAGTTATGTTTTAGATGCATTTTATTTCCCCTGCCTCCATGTGGATAAGAACTGAGACCCATTTGGTAGTTCATCATGGTCATCTCTTTTTTTTTTTTTTTGTGTGTTTTTTGGTGAAAATTGTAAGTATTAAGAATATTATATTTAGGTAAACCATATAGTTTTCTGTGGGGAACCCCGTCGGCTCCCTGACGCTATCTTACTGATCAAGTACCATACTACTTTAGTGTCATCAGTGGCAGAGTTCTTTGTATGCCTACCGGGGACCACGAGCCGGAACCTGGCTGTCTCGGAGAGGCGCAGAGAGCAATGGCCCATGAATGCGTTACATGTAAAGTATGTCATCTTGCCATCGATCAGAGAAGGCACCCAGAAAGGCAGGCGAATCAAAACAGACCACTGCCTGGTTGAAAAATGCGACTTACATCCTCAAAAGTGAGGCCGTAAAGTTTCTGGGTGAGCCCCGATGGCTCCTTGACACACACCCTTCCAAAGGGAATCAGGGATGGCTTTTCCCATTATCATAGAACTGAAGGTGGAGCAGCTGGCTGACCTGGTTTGCCTCCTTCCTCCTGAATGAGGTGAGGTGAGGTGCGGCGAATGAACTAGTACCAAGTTTCATGAATTTTCAATCGTTTGTTTACAATTTGGGGAAGGTCCTTTACTAATTTTGAGCTTTTAATATTATTTGTTAACAGCAGTGATCTGTTTTGTTTCACTGACTTTGTGGGTGCTTCCTGATGCTGGCAGACAACATTAGAATTTACTACCAATTTTGTCATAGTGCCACTGCTCTCCATGCCTCATTGGAGGAAGACAGGTTCAAGGCTTGTGGTCCCTGGTAGGCCTAAAAGAACTCTGCAACTGATGGCACCTAGTAGTTTGTCATTATATCTGCATTGTAGCTTCAGGGAGGAGCCAACAAGGCTCACCCAAAACTTGGAGTTTCATTACATTCGTTTTCTGGGAGCTTTTACCAGGCTGATATGCTAATGTCAGACTTTGGTATCAGTCATGTGTATGGAGTTCTACGGCCTACCGGGGATCACGGCCAGAACCTGGCCCTCTCAGAGAGGCAAGGGAAGCAATGGCCTATAGAAACCCCCATGTGGTTGGAAGCATTCTATGTCTGCCATCGACCGGGTCAAGCATCCTGAAAGGTAAACATTCCAAAACAAACCCCTATTCTGGTTAAAATTGCTACCTAAAGCCGAACTAGTGGATAGAACTCCCCAATAGAAAACGAGCAAACTAGTATGATATCACACGTCACCGTGCCGCTGTCTGCGCAGCTCACCCCTCCCCGGGAGGGGGAAGGGGAAGCCCCAGACCTCCCACGCCGGCTATCCACCCATCAGTTCTTCGGCTGATGCTATAGGCACCGGTTATGTGCTCTGGCTCCAGTAGTTGTTTCAGCACTGTACCTAGAGTGTGGTGTCTGTCTTCTAGGTGGTGCGTGAGCCGGGTGTGAGTCTCCAGTACTCGGGCTGCATGCGCCTAGGGTTCCCTTCCCTAGGTGCCCTGTAAGTACTGCCCTTGGGGCTTGGGGCCACCTTCCACAAGTTCCTTGGGTCCTGCCCCTGCTAGGCCGTTTACTGCTTGGTTTTCGGCCGCTCTTTGTGTGCTCGGGTGTTTTGTCTTCCTTGTTCGCCTTAGGGTAAGGGGCAGTTTTGCACACGTGGGGCACAGGGTACTGTGCAGCTTGTCTTTACCAATCATGGCAGCCGGCTCTGTTCCGCTTGGGCACGCTGTCCTCTTGCGGGGTTTTCTTTTTCTTTTTGTTTATCTACCTGGTGGGGGGTCTGCCTTCGTTCTTGCCCCTTGTGTCCCTTGTGTGTTCTGAGTATTTTCTGGTAGTACCCCCTGCTAGGTCCCCGTGAGTGTACACGTCCCAGGGGTTCAGCTCTTAGAAAGTTGTTTGGTAGCTTTGGGCGCCAGAAAGTTGTTTGGTAGCTTTGGGCGCCGGTTAGCAGTACCCTGCCTGGGATTACCTGAGCGCGAGTCCTCTTACAGTAAACGCTCGGGACCCTGGGAAACCCCTGGGGGCGCGCGGGTCCGATGGATATGACCCTAGAGTTCCCCCTCGCTTCCAGCGAGTTTGAGGATTGCTCACCCCTTGTCTCTGGGTGACCCTCTGTTTTGCCTCCGTCTGCTGCCTGTAGGGTCGGTGACACCTTCGACCCCGAGTCCTGCGAGTTTCGTTGCTTGTTGTGGCTCGGTTACCCAGTTGTGCTGACTAAGCAGGTGCGGGCAGCAGGGGCGTTGCACTTTGAGCCTTGGTGGTGGCAACGTTCTCGTTGTTTGCTCCCCGGGAGCCCTGGGGCTGCCCCGATTTGGTTCATGTTGGGACTTGGGGGTGTTGGTTGCTTTGGTTACTTCCACGCCCCCTTGTCTTTCCCCTGATCCCCCCTTCCTGCCAGCATCCGGTTTCTTACCGTCTGTAGGATCGGGGCGGGGTTTGATGGTGTTGAGACTCGGGCAGTCTCGGGGACTTCCCCTTCCGGGGTAGTGACGGGGGCATTGAGCCTGTTCCTCCAGCCGTGTTGTAAGAGTCTGCCAGTGGGCAGACTACCCGAGTCACAGAGATTATCATTCACAGACAAGCTACTAGTGATATATGCGGACTGGGAAAAGACAACATTGGATAACGACCAAAACTCAGGAACAGATAGTTTAGAGAACCGCAGCAGTAGTGTGGAGGAAGAGGCTATTGTGGTACAAAATAACAGCAATATTGCAGAGCCAGGTAATATAAACAATTAGAGCAACAGTGAAACAGAGTGCATAGATGAAGGAATAGGGACGAAAAACGGAGATGGCTCCAATAAAGAGGTAGACAAGACAGTCACAGATATAAATACCTTGAAAAACGCAAAACCGGAACACATTTGCAAATTCTACGCTAAAGGAACATGCAAATATGGAAAATTAGGAGCAAAATGCCATTTTCTGCATCCTCGAAAATGCAGGAACATGTTGGAGAGGGGTACATGCCATTTTGGAACAGGGTGTAGATACTTCCACCCTAAATTATGTCAATTTTCAATTGGGGACAAAAAATGCTACAATCTTCAGTGTCCGGAATTCCACGTGAGAGGTACACAGCGTTATAGACGGAAAGATCAATATGACACTACTGGAAATTTTTTAGAGGAAGGCAAAAACAAAGTAGTAAATATAAGAGAGAGGAACAGTCAGATGGAACCACTACAGGATTACAGAGGGGAACGGAGATACCCACAAGACTGGAATACAAATTATCAACAAGCACACAGGTACTACACCACACAACACCCGTCCTACTACCAAAACTGGATGAATCACTTCCAAAACAACACACCCTGGATGCAAACACAGTGGCCTCCTTACCAGAGCCTCAGATATTAACACCAAGTAAGGCTTCCAGCACTACCACTAACACGATAACATCATTTATATTTGCCAACATCCAGGGTATAAAAACACGCAAATCCAACAAAGTTCACTTTATAGATGGTCTCCCTTCATGAGGCAAATGCAGTGTTTGCAGCCCTAACAGAAACCCACACAAAGGACTACCATGATGGTGAAATATGGATCTCAGAGTACAATCTTTTCAAATGTGATAGGAAACACCAGCTTCAGGGTGGGGTCAGCCTCTACATCAAAGACACACTCATCTGTACTGAGCTGCTAAACACCTCAAATGATATGGTGGAAGTGCTGATAACCAAAATAGATCAGTGTAGATCAGTTCTAAGTGTAGTTATTGTCCTTGTATATAAGTCACCGGAGGCAAACCCTCAGCAGTTTAAAGATCAACTAATGAAAATAGAACACTGCTTGGAAAACCTCACAAATCCAGCTCCGAACATCATCCTGCTTGGGGACTTCAACCTACGGCACCTGAAATGGAAGCACCTGTTTAATACAGTAATATCAGAAAGAATACCAGGAAGTAGCCTAAATGAACAGGCACATGCAAATGACCTGCTACGGATGTGCGACAGGTTCCCCCCTTCCCCCTCCCGGGGAGGGGGGGAGCTGCGCAGACAGCGGCACGGTGACGTGTGACGTCATACTAGTTTGCTTGTTTTCTATTGGGGAGTTCTATCCACTAGTTCGGCTTTAGGTAGCAATTTTAACCAGAATAGGGGTTTGTTTTGGAATGCTTACCTTTCTGGATGCTTGACCTGGTCGATGGCAGACATAGAATGCTTCCAACCACATGGGGGTTTCTATAGGCCATTGCTCCCCTTGCCTCTCTGAGGGGGCCAGGTTCTGGCCGTGGTCCCCGGTAGGGCCTAGAACTCCATACACATGACTGATACCAAAGTCTAACATTACCATATCAGCCTGGTAAAAGCTCCGGGGAGCCTCCGGGTCTCACCCAGAAAATGGCGTTTCATTACATTCAACGCTGGTTTTTTTTTATATATACAGTGGCACCTCGACTTACAATTACCCCTACTTAGGATAATTTGGAGTTACGATGTAAATTTCATCGAAAAATGCGACTTGACATCCGATGGTGTCGTCGACTTACGATATTTGTTGATACACGTTCGGGTCGACTGAGCGCGTGGTTCCCGGTCATGCAGCCGATCTGCCTCAGTTTACTACAGCTGCCCGCTTAGTGACGATCGCGCCTATAAGAAATTTCGCTTTTGTGAGGATTTTTTGCATTTTGAACATTAGAGTAATTATTATATATCATGCCATGAGTCCTAGGAAAGTAAGTGGTAAGGCTCAGCATATGAGATCCCATGTAAGGATGACCATAGAGCAGAAACAAGAGATCATTCGTAAATATGAAGATGGTGTGCGGGTTGTTGGACTGGCTAGGCAGTACAACAAATCTCAGTCAATGATATCCACCATACTGGCTAAGAAAAAGGACATTATGGGTACTAAAGTGATGCATCATTACAGACAAATGTTAAAACGAAGGGAAAAACAAATGTATCTTGATAAATTTGCAGTGAGACAAACAAGCACTGAACCACAACCAGGTCCTAGTGATATTCAGGCAAAACATAGGAGAGAGACTACCCCAGAGAAAACATCACTCCCTGATGTGATAATGGAAGGGGACTCCCCTTCCAAACAGTAACAACTCTCCTCCTCCCTCATCACCATCTTCCATATGCCATCAAGAGTCCTCCATAAAGGTAAGATAAACTTAGGTACTGTATTGTAGTTAGAAAAACCATTGTATTCAGTACAAAATGTATTTGTATGTTAATATTTTGGAGGGTGGGGAACGGATTAATTCAAATCCCTTTATTTCTTGTGGGAAAAATCGCTTCGACTTACGATCCGTCTCTGGGAACGGATTAGCATCGTAAGTCGAGGCCCCATTGTATATATATATACAGGCATACCTCAGTTTAAGAGTTTAATTGGTTCCTGGAGACGCCTCGTATTCCGAAAACTCGCATTCCGAAGCTAATTTCCCCATAAGAAATAAAGGAAAATGAATTAATCCGTTCCTGACTACCCTAAAAACCCCACATCAAACTAAATTTTTATACCTAATTCATCTAAATAAACCTACAAAACTATGTTCAAGTTATTACTTACCTTGCTGTTGAATGCTGTAGGCGTATGGAAGATGGTGAGGAGGTGGGAGGAAGAGAGGAGTTACTGTTTGGAAGGGGAGTCCCCTTCCATTATCACATCAGGCAGTGAGGACTTCACTGGTATGCACACTCTGGCACATTTTGCCTGCATACCACTAGGACTTGCTTGTTTTACTAAGAATTTATCTAATAACACTTGTTTTTCCCTACATTTTAACACTTGTCTGTAGTAAGACATCACATTATCATTTAAAAGGTCAATGCAACGGCCTGCTACAGCTTTATCTGGGTGAGTTTTTTCAACAAAACTTTGCAGTTCTTCCCATACTTCACACATTTTCTTAATCAAGAAGGGACATCCTCTACTGCCTCTACTCACAGCTATTTTCTTAGGTTGAACCTTACCAATGGCTTTCTTGAGACCCATGGCAAGATATATAATGACAACTTTTATGCTCAAATGGCCAAAAAAATGATAAAAAACTGTAAATCCTTGTGAAGAATTCAGGTGGGATAGTCACTGGACACGAGACACTGGTAAACTGAGGCGCGATCGCCATGCCACCACGCGCCAGTCGGCCTGTACACGTATCAACAAACTCGCGTCCCGAGGTAACCCTCGCCTCCCGAGACATATTTTTGGAGTAAATCCTGCTCGTCTTCCGAAAAACTCGCATACAGGGACACTCGCATTCCGAGGTACCACTGTATATATAGAGGTTTGTGGACTCTGCTGCGCAGATGCCAGCAGAGGGACTTTTGCAAACCATTTCCTTCGAAAGAGAGTGTCTGGGGTCCTCTTTTTTCCATTTCTCATTCCTTCAAGTAGAGGAGGAGTTGGTTTACCTTCCTATAGGGTGTCGGAGGTCCACCTGTTTAAGCTCCTTTTCTGAAGGGGGCCACTTGGTGGCTCTCTGTAGCTAGTAGTTTTGGTTAGCTCTGCACCTAAGTTACACCAGGCCCTTGTGAGTCATTAAAAGCCTACAGGAAAAAGGCTAAAAGCTGAATCCTTACAGACGGACAGAAATTTTGTAGATAAGTACACAAGAAAAAGCAATGAATCAGAAATATGAATTTATTGTGATTCTGGGTTAGTCCAGAACAATATGATCCAAATTTCGGAGGTGCCTCTGTGCTGTATTACAATAAAGTATTAATCGCTTATTATCTTTAGTATAAGTACCACAAATTATATTGTTTTATGTATGACTTGTATGTTTGTTTCCACAGGAACTTCGGCTTGAATCTGAAGATTTATGGTTTGAGGCGATACAGTTGGACCAAACACTGCTTCCATTTAAAGTAAAGGGTCCTGTTCAAACTCCTCCAGTCAAATATTATAATGCTCCTGATGGTGATTATTTTGACAAAACCACTAAATGGGAATAAACTTATATTACTTAGATATTACTGTATTACTGTAAAAATGAAAGTTCATTGTAAAATAAGTTTACTTAATGGAGCAGAGAACAAAGTCACTGATAATATTGAATTGATGTCTTTGCTATATTTAAGATGAAATATCAAAAAGTACTAGAATCTTAAAGTATTTTGTTCATAAATTTTAGCTTCTTAGTGAATAGCATTTGTATATACAGTACAGTACTAAAATAGCTGATTCTTTTAGCTACATATAATTATTTAGTTAAGAAATTATTTCCAGTGGTTTTATTAAGTTGAGGCCCATCTAAAGAATATCACCATGTCACTTGAAGAAAGTGAAACTGAATGATTCATAAAATAAAATAATAATGATTACATGTCATATTTTTTATTTATCCTTAATCCATTCATTGCAGGTTTCTATTATACAGCTGGTAGCTGTCAAGGGTCATATAAGGCTCCAAGTAATTGCTGCATATTTATTGCATTTCTTTTTTTGAATAAGACCCTCCTTCCACACTGTATATACTGGTAAGATAAATACTAAAAATTACTATAATTCAAAATCTAGCTGCACAAAATCATCAGGACAAATGTGGGGACCTTTGACAATTCAGGCACCCAGTCCTCTTAAAGGCCATTTCTGAGATGGTCGCCTTCAGGTATATTCAGGGGAAAATTATTATTTTCTGGGAGGGCTTCCTGGCACTTGGCATCTGATAAGTACTATGCATATCATATGGTGCTACAAGGTCTTGCCAATTTGATGCCTTCTTTTGATAATTACCTTATAATTATCATATCTTATGATAATGTAAAAATTATATTTAGAGAATGAATTTAGGAATACAGTATAACCATAACATGTGACATAATTAGGAAGAACATTGACAAACTAAAATACTCGAAAGCCCCAGGTGTTGATGGAATACAATCCAAAGTCATAAAGGAACTAGCAGAACACTATACCTACCACTGAAGTTACTTTTCACAAAGTCTCTGAGCCAAGGAATAGTCCCCCTAGACAAAATATGCAAATGTCACTCTTATTTTGAAAAAAGGCAGCAGAGCTCAGCAGAGAACTACTGTTCAATCAGCTTGACATCACACATCTGCAAGCTCATGGAGAGAATCCTAAGGGAGGGAATCATTCACCATCTTTCGGTGAACAATCTTATAAAATCGACACAACATGGGTTTGTTAAAAATAGATCCTGCTTTACAAACCTGCTCACATTTTTGGAAACAGTCACCAGCTACTCAGACAAAGGACTTCCAGCTGATGTAGTCCGGTTAGTATTTTTTTTTGCTAAATGAAGAAAAGAAACGAAGCTAAAGAATTAATAACAGAAACAAAATGTGTCATTAACAGTGCCTCACGGAGAGCCAGCTAGAAGAGGCCACTCTCAAGTATCAAAATACGGCAGAATACACGGTATCTTGCAACTAAGTGAACCATTGTATTATTTTAGGGTTGAAATGTGCTTGTTACAAACATACTATTAATGCAACGAGCAACACTAAGATAAAAATAAGTATATTTTCTGGGTGAGTCACTATATAACTGGGTCCTTTCTTCCCAGAAGTTGTCTGGATCAATATTCTCCAAACTGTTTAGTCGTTTAAAAGTTTCGATGAGATCTACCATGTCATGTCTGGTTTCCAGTTGTTGTTAGCCCTGTGGCTCTCAACCGTTCTTGGTGTGAGAATCTTACTTAGATTTGTAATTACCTGAGTGTAGTTACAAGATGAGAGCTACGCTCGTGGTTGTAATACACATATGGTGCTACATAGCCTTTTCGGCTTGATGCCGTCTTTTTGATAATTACTTACTTGTAACACACACTCAAACTTACATTCAGTATCCACTCAATTTAACGGCCTCTTTTATACCGATCTGCCGGTATTAACGACCGGTTTGGGAGCCCAGTATCTGGAGCCTGCTATACCGGTCTGCGGTCGATATTACCGACGGTCTGTATTGGGTTTGTTGTGGCATCAGCGTCCCCTCACATGGCGACCAGGCCGCCACCTGGTCGCCTGGTGGCGACCAGGAAAATTTACACCACCATGGGAGGATTGTAATGTAGATGTAGTAATTACTCCCTTGCATAAGAAAAAAAGTATGTATGAAATAGGAGAGGTGAGGGCAACATATGATTGTATAATTAGAAAACTGCCTACGGAAAACACTCTACATGTATATTGTGATGGGTCAGTAGCTAGGGATGGGAAGGCAGGATGTGGAGTCTTGATCAGGGAGTACACTGACATCGGCACTGTAGATACTGTTATTGGACGCCGCTTAACTGACGATGTCTCTTCAACGCAGGCTGAACTCCAAGGAGTATTAGCAGGATTACAGGAAGTAGTCAAATGTGGTAAAAATGCTTGCTTCTTTATTGACAGCAGAGGAGCGTTAGAGTCTTTAAATAGCAGACGCCCAGTATATCAGAATATTGTGATAGAGTGTAGAGAGAATGTTAAGAGACTAGAAAAAACTGAGTATAAAGTAAGATTCATGTGGATCCCTTCACATGTGGGAATACTGTTGAATGAGGTAGTTGATGACATAGCGAAGAGAGCCACTGAAAAATCTCTTGTTGATGTTGTATGTCAGTTAACCTTGAAACAAATAAAAACAAGACTCAAGGTGATTCAGGAGGGTGAAGAAATGGTAAAGAGAATGGCAATGGTGGACAGTAGTAACACACTTAAGAATTATTCAATAATAAATATAAATTCGTCCTTCACTTATGGTAAAGGAAAGTCTACTTGGAAGGATTCAATTTACATGAGATTACGATTAGGATATAAATATATCTGGCAATACGGTGTCGATGTCAGTGAAAAAGATAAGGGGTGTAAATTATGTAGCATGCCGTACGCCCACACCTTAGAACATTATGTATTAGAGTGTCACCTTATTGAAAAATATAGAAATAAGGAAATAAATAGTGTACCACATCAAATTGTTTGGATGTGTGATAATGGTATAATAGACAGTATACTTAGGAGCTACAAGAATTTTGCCCCAAGAATGTAACAATTATATGCTGTACTTGCTGTATGCAATGTTAAATGGGATTCTTGTACTGTTATATGTCTATTTGTACTCACTGAATTTGTGCGCCCCTTGAGGGACTTGAAGTAGAGGGGGGTAGAAATAGCCTAAGCTACTCTATCCCTTTGAGATGTATTTATTGCTTATCTCAATAAACATACTTGAACTTGAACTTGAGCCGCCACCGATCGTCCAGAGTCATATATTACATCTTAATTTTCTTTTAAAATGATTCACTTTAATGAAGAAAATTGTAAATTATTATTAATAAAATATTTTGAAACAGTTTTTATTAAGCAAAAGTCTTTGTTTTCTTATTAAATGCCTTTTATAGTATAGGCACTAGGTATTTTTTTTCCCACGGACCTAGTATGTACTCCGCCGGGCCATGTGTTCCCATTGTTTACTGTCAACTCGCGCGGCTAGCTTCAATTGTGAAGGATATTACTGTACTGTAATTGTGATCTTTTTAATTGACAAAATGCCAAAAGTTACCCAAAGGAAGCGCCTGACGGTTGCACAGAAGCTGGAGTTAATTAAGAAACTTGATAAAGGATATCCTCATGCACGAGCAGCAGCAGAGTTTAACATTCAACATAATTGTCAATAGTGAAGTAGAATTAGAACTCATGTGAATTAGTAGTAAGGCTAGCTGTTGTGTGAAGTGAGTGCCTGAAAATAAGTGTACTGTACATACAGTATGTACCCTACCTTACCTTGAGGCTACCTTGAGGTGCTTCCGGGGCTTAGTGTCCCCGCGGCCCGGTCGTCGACCAGGCCTCCTGGTTGCTTACCCTGTATACAATATAAACAATATAAAACAAGCGCTGCAGAGGATGACGTAATCATCACAGCTTCGTAATCTTCAGCTTCATTAAAAGTAAGTCAATTTACCAATTTTATTATAGTATTACAAGATATTAATTGTTTTTTTTTCAACAAAAGCTACATATTAGTCTGCAAATGTATATTCTATCGTCAGCAGAGAATAGGTGAGCTCAAAATATTTCGTCTTGGCTAGTTCTCAGTGACAAGGCTCGATCGCCATTGTTATGGCATGACCGCCACAGCCTGTGTCGTAACATTAAAAATACATTACCTGCACTGTTCAGGGTAAATCAAAACACATCTCTAAAATTTTATTAAGACAATATTAACTCACTGATTGATACATGAAATATTTTTCAATACAAAGGAATGAATCAATTTTTTCCCACCCATCTGGGCTTGATCAGAGCGTGTTCACACATCATCCATGCAGCAGCCACCAACTGGCTTAATCGTCGGCCGTGCACTAAATTGGAATGCAATTACACAATGAACTTTATTTAATTTTAGTTATACAGTATAAAATATATCCTACCTGAATGTTACTTGAAAAATTACCTGACCCGACTTAACTTTTTTTTTTTTTTTTTTTTGAGATATATACAAGAGTTGTTACATTCTTGTACAGCCACTAGTACGCGTAGCGTTTCGGGCAAGTCCTTAATCCTATGGTCCCTGGAATACGATCCCCTGCCGCGAAGAATCGTTTTTTCATCCATTTCAAGTACACATTTTAGTACACAAGTACAGTACACAAGTACACACGTTTTTTCATCATTTCAAGTACACATTTTACTGTTGCGTTAAACAGAGGCTACAGTTAAGGAATTGCGCCCAGTAAATCCTCCCCGGCCAGGATACGAACCCATGACTTAGCGCTCGCGGAACGCCAGGCGAGTGTCTTACCACTACACCACGGAGACTGCAACTTCGAAAATAACGGAGCTCCGTAAATAACGACTAGGGCTCAGCCCCATATAGGCTGTTAAATTGAGTGGATACTTTATACAGTACTGCTGCCCCCCCCCTCCCCCCAAAAAAAAATAAAACTTGTGAGATATTGTAAAAAATGCTTTCCTAGTACTAAACAGTAAGCAACGTTCGTTGCTTTCGACCAACAGTGCCTAATGGGTTCTAGCTGAATAGGAATATGTATAGTCACCCAAATCTAAATAATTACTTGCTCTTTGGATGTTTATTTCGCCTTTATTTAATGTAGTAATATAAATTAACTTATATAAAAATTATGTAAAACCACACTGCAGAAATATACACAAACATTCAACTGTCAGGCTGTGATGCAAACAGCTTACAAATAAACTTGTAACGGTTTAATTGAGTTCTAAAGATACAATTCATAATTTATTTAAGTGTCTTTTAAGGCTTTTAAATACTCTTCCTAATTACAATTAGTTAAGCTGCAGAAAACAAATAACTCATGGGACTAGCGCTGCAGCTGTAGAATAATGGATTGTAAACATGTAAAGGAAGGGTAGACGAGCCTCATGGGTGACACGATGACTTTTCTGTCGATAATATTCTAGCTTGGCCTCCTTTTGGTTTGGGGGGGAAGGGCGTCAAGGATCGCCAAGTATTTGCCTCACAATATGTTTATCTGCGTCAGGTAGAGTAGTTTTCTGCTGACAGTCGATAACTGGATGCCAGTGGCGGCTATAGTATATGTGCACCCCATACTCGGCCTGTGAGCGAAAACTCGGAAGGATTAGAGGGCACAAAGCAGCAAGATTTTTGAACACATCTGACACTAGTGTCAACAACAAAAGCCGTTCCAGCTGCAGGTTTCACCATTGATGAATAATATACAAATGTGATGGTTGGTAACCTGGCCTTGGTTATATTGCTCTGCTGGACAAGCGCTCATAGGAGGAGAAGATATCAACAAGTCTTGCAACATGGGAGCTTCTCGCGTTGATGATGTCAACAATATCAGGCTTGAGGGCGGCGCTTCCCACCAGGAATCCGTCCAGGTCCTTCAACTTGGCCAGTTCCTGACAATTGTCGGTGGAAACTGAGCCAGCGTAGATGATACGAGTTGTGTTGGCCACGTGGTGGGAGACGTTGTGACGTAGCCAGTGCCGCAGCATGGAGAGTGCCTCCTGGACCTGTGCAGGTGTGGCCAAGATGCCAGTGCCACTGGCCCACAGAGCCTCGAAGGCGATCACTACGCGGGACCAATCACTGATGCTGGCCGCCAGGGACTCTAACTGTCCGTACAGCACCTCCTCCGTCCGCTGGCTCTCACGATCCTCCTTCGTCTCGCACACACACGCCACCACCTGCAACAACAACAATAAAACTGCAACATTACATCTCCATCCCAGGTTCAACATGCAACAAAGGCGCATCACATTATAAAACATGTCACTGTTGCTCAAATTCTGGGTATAAAGTTTAGATGGGGAAGTATAAGTGTGGGAAATGTTACCTTGATGCCTGCCTGTTGGGCGTGGGCGACCTTCTGGCTGATGAGGTGATCTGGTTCATTAAATATTGTCCTCCGCTCAGGGTGACCCAGGATGACCCACTCACACCCACAGTCCTGGATCATGGCAGGAGATATCTCTCCGCTAAAGTTGCCTCTCTCTACCTGTTTAACAAAACATTTAAACATCAAGTTTTGCCACTTGCATGCATATTTTTCACAATGATTGATGAAGCAAAAACGAAAAATACTATGTATGAGTGACGAATTATCAGAGTTCCAAGTGAAAATATTAGTTGGTACCTTATAGCAGTTCTGAGCGGCTACAGCAATCTGGGGCGGGAGCTGCTGGCGGGCGTACGACAAGTAGCACGAGGGACACCCAACCACGGCTTCTGTTGTTCACAAACACAAACATTAAACATTCTTTCACAAAAACAACTTCTTATATAATAAGTGAATTGTTAATACATGTTTATCAATCTAATGTTATTGCTCAGCCGTGTCTATAGCGGCTTCTGTCACCAGCGACGATGCTTACCTGTATTGGGGTCTAGAGATGCTGCTGTCATGAGTTTAACGATGCTGTCGATGCGAGATCTGTCCACATTCATCTTCCAGTTACCAATCACGAAGAACTTCCTTGGGCTGAACATTGTGTCTTACAGCAAAGTGACCTTAGCAGTGTTTGGATGACGACGTCTCGTGAGGTGAGGGATAAGCTACTCGACAGTGGCTGAGAGAACCGAGACTTATATACAGTATTGTTTGGTGCCGGAAGCTCCATCTCTGACGTCACCTCCTCCTCTGGGCACCACGTACACCACAAAAAACGTTTTAGTTACTGTGATAATAGCTTTCATATGCATAATAAGATTACGAATTGTAAGGGAAGTAATCGTGTTACACTATATATTACAATTCTGAATACAAGATCTTAGAAATGTTAAGTTATTATTACATGAGTCTACGGAAGTCCTGTTGCTCGGGGAAGATCCCTTTCAGACTCATTTTGTAAGGGTACTTTAATAAATTTCTTTGGGTAAGTTCTTTGAGATGTATTAATATAAGAATTGCATCGTGAATTAAAATGATTAGATATCCTCCAGCACCCCCTCCTCTCCCCCTCCTCCAGGACCTCTCACCCTCCTCCAGGACCTCTCACCCTCCTCCAGGACCTCTCACCCTCCTCCAGGACCTCTCACCCTCCTCCAGGACCTCTCACCCTCCTCCAGGACCTCTCACCATCCTCCAGGACCTCTCACCCTCCTCCAGGACCTCTCACCCTCCTCCAGGACCTCTCACCCTCCTCCAGGACCTCTCACCCTCCTCCAGGACCTCTCACCCTCCTCCAGGACCTCTCACCCTCCTCCAGGACCTCTCACCCTCCTCCAGCACCTCTCACCCTCCTCCAGGACCTCTCACCCTCCCCCAGGACCTCTCACCCTCCTCCAGGACCTCTCACCCTCCTCCAGCACCTCTCACCCTCCTCCAGGACCTCTCACCCTCCTCCAGGACCTCTCACCCTCCTCCAGGACCTCTCACCCTCCTCCAGCACCTCTCATCCTCCTCCAGGACCTCTCACCCTCCTCCAGGACCTCTCACCCTCCTCCAGGACCTCTCACCCTCCTCCAGGACCTCTCACCCTCCTCCAGCACCTCTCACCCTCCCCCAGGACCTCTCACCCTCCTCCAGCACCTCTCACCCTCCCCCAGGACCTCTCACCCTCCTCCAGGACCTCTCACCCTCCTCCAGGACCTCTCACCCTCCTCCAGGACCTCTCACCCTCCTCCAGGACCTCTCACCCTCCTCCAGGACCTCTCACCCTTCCCTAGGACCTCTCACCCTCCTCCAGGACCTCTCACCCTCCTCCAGGACCTCTCACCCTCCTCCAGGACCTCTCACCCTCCTCCAGCACCTCTCCTACACCCTAGCTTCCATCAACACTCATCTTAATTTTTGCTTATTAATAATCCTAGGTATACACAGCACTGAGCTGCTATCCTATTCTATATGAAGTGTTACATAGTATAGGGCTGGGTCAAGGGTTAGTTATGCGTTCATGTAATATCCCATCTCACAAGACAGTCATACATGGAATGAGGAGAAAACATGAGAAGCGAGTCTAGTCTGCTGGCCTGCACTAGCAAACTGTGAGTAGACCACAAGAATGTCTTTCAATATTCGTGAATGTATGAAGTAGTTATAGAGTTCAAAGTATCTAATACCATTTAGTCTGAAGTTATAGACACATCCCAGCCTTCTGCAGCATATCTTAGCCTCCTTCAGCACTTACCTGACACACTTCAGCCTCCTTCAGCACTTACCTGACACACTTCAGCCTCCTTCAGCACTTACCTGACACACTTCAGCCTCCTTCAGCACGTATCTGATACACGTCAGCCTCCTTCAGCATCTCTCACTTCGCCGCCTGCCTCAAAACATGATCCCTGTAACTCCTGCATAGCTTTTACCGGAAACCAATCGCACGGTATAAATGAAGAAATGGTTCAGTTCTCACGATTCGTTGTTCGTTTATTAGTGGAGTAAATGTAGCGAGGCAGGAGGTTCGTCCCACGTGTTTTATGAAATATATTACAAGTTTATTATTTTATTATTGTGGATATACAAACAATACAGGTAAATTCAGGTAAATATTGTCAACCTGAGGTTGATCAGAAAACGAAGGTACTAATATTGCCTAATAGTTTATATTGGTACAGGACTGTAGCAATTACATTACAGTACGTTTGTCTGAGGCGAGAAAGAGCCTGTGAAGATGGGATTTAACTTTTTCAGATATAAGAAACGGGTTCCAAAGGAACAGGAATATGAAAGCACGGAGGATTCCTTGTAAAAATCCCAGGTATTGACTGTTATTTGTTAATTTTAATTAAGGTTTCCGTTCAGTGTATCGTGAATACCTCTTCACAGTCAAGAATACAAACACGTGACCACCATATGTATTTTTTTTTCCACTAGCGCCCACAGGATGGGCATGGGGTGCATAATAAATGAACTAAACTAACTAATTGGGCAGTGAAACTCATTGATAATAGTTTTGATTACATATTGTGTGAATAATATTTTAATGAGAATGCCAGATTATGTATTGGCATACATTACTAATATGTGAATGGATGTGAGAATGTAAAGGAAGGAATGTAACACATAAACATTATATTGTTTTTAAAGCCTTGTCCGTGACATATGGTTAAATGGTATTTGTGACACTTGACCAACAGAACATAACGAACCACTTGACCAACAGAACATAACGAACCACTTGACCAACAGAACATAACGAACCACTTGACCAACAGAACATAACGAACCACTTGACCAACGGAACATAACGAACCACTTGACCAACGGAACATAATGAACCACTTGACCAACGGAACATAACGAACCACTTGACCAACGGAACATAATGAACCACTTGACCAACGGAACATAATGAACCACTTGACCAACGGAACATAATGAACCACTTGACCAACGGAACATAATGAACCACTTGACCAACGGAACATAATGAACCACTTGACCAACGGAACATAATGAACCACTTGACCAACGGAACATAACGAACCACTTGACCAACAGAACATAACGAACCACTTGACCAACGGAACATAATGAACAATAAAAAATTATTCATTATGCCATTGACCCGACTAAAGATTGAACGTTTGGTTGTCTTAATTCTTTTGACTGTTTCTTTGTAATAAATAATTATTATTTGGGGTTTCTGTATGAGTATCAACTGTCACTCGTTTTACATTTAATATATTATAAGCAGTAGTTGAATGGGTCAAGTGACGTGTTAATATGAAGTATTGTTTTGCTTTTGCGCTGAATGTCTCACAGTGACGTCACTTGCTCAAAGGGCCGAGTCTAAAATTTGTGTTTTATGTTCACAAAAAGTAAGTTTACATTCATGGCATTTGGGTTTATATTATTGATCAGAGTACTGTATATGCTACCTCGAAAATTTTGACATGTTATAGCATGTTAAAGATTTGTAGATGCCTTTAACATGTGATTTATACTCTCTTCCTTAGCCCCTTGTATTGCACCCATATGTACTTGGGTATACTTGCGGGAGGATGAACCACGGCTCCAATAGGTCCCGCCTCTCAACCCTTAATCGACTAGTTTGTAGGTTCCAGAGCCTATTGGGCCTGATGGCATTTACATTTAAAACGGTGACTGCTGTTTGCTTCCGCAACTTCTCTTCATAATTTGTGTGCGTGAATCACAACAATGTTGATAAGATAAACACATTAAAACTTTTGTTGTGTTGTTTTTATAAGCTGCACATACGAAATAAAATTGTCTTCATATAAAAAGTAACTCTAGAAAAGAACAATAGTTGCATAGATAACAAACATCTGCAAGGGATGTTTAAATATATCTCTTGGGTTGTCGCGCTACAAGCGACCATTTATGATTAATTTGTTTGTGCCTGAGATGAGAGATGAGTATGTTAGTCTCCTGGAGCTGCTGTTGCCTCGCCCACAGCGACGAGCTCGATACTCTCGAGGAATTAATGATGTCAACAATGTCAGGCTTGAGGGCGGCGCTTCCCACCAGGAATCCGTCCAGGTCCTTCAACTTGGCCAGTTCCTGACAATTGTCGGTGGAAACTGAGCCAGCGTAGATGATACGAGTTGTGTTGGCCACGTGGTGGGAGACGTTGTGACGTAGCCAGTGCCGCAGCATGGAGAGTGCCTCCTGGACCTGTGCAGGTGTGGCCAAGATGCCAGTGCCACTGGCCCACAGAGCCTCGAAGGCGATCACTACGCGGGACCAATCACTGATGCTGGCCGCCAGGGACTCTAACTGTCCGTACAGCACCTCCTCCGTCCGCTGGCTCTCACGATCCTCCTTCGTCTCGCACACACACGCCACCACCTGCAACAACAACAATAAAACTGCAACATTACATCTCTCTCCCAGGTTCAACATGCAACAAAGGCGCATCACATTACAAAACATGTCACTGTTGCTCAAATTCTGGGTATAAAGTTTAGCTGGGGGAAGTATAAGTGTGGGAAATGTTACCTTGATGCCTGCCTGTTGGGCGTGGGCGACCTTCTGGCTGATGAGGTGATCTGGTTCATTAAATATTGTCCTCCGCTCAGGGTGACCCAGGATGACCCACTCACACCCACAGTCCTGGATCATGGCAGGAGATATCTCTCCGCTAAAGTTGCCTCTCTCTACCTGTTTAACAAAACATTTAAACATCAAGTTCTGCCACTTGCATGCATATTTTTCACAATGATTGATGAAGCAAAAACGAAAAATACTATGTATGAGTGACGAATTATCAGAGTTCCAAGTGAAAATATAAGTTGGTACCTTATAGCAGTTCTGAGCGGCTACAGCAATCTGGGGCGGGAGCTGCTGGCGGGCGTACGACAAGTAGCACGAGGGACACCCAACCACTGTCTCTGTAATATTTAAGTAAAGTATGAGTTTACTGTAATAAAGTAAAGCCACATACATACATACATATTATATATATATATATATATATATATATATATATATATATATATATATATATATATATATATATAGTAGAGCTAACATCATAAAATTTAACAATTACACTGAATTAATGAAATGTCTAAACTCAAATGTTTGTTATATGGTATTTCCGGCCTACTATTAACATTTTGATTTAGTTCGTTTATTATAACCCTATTTAGAGATTGTATTTATTTCACCGTTTTGAATGTATACGTCTCCAGAAAAATGGATTACTTTTAAGAGTAGAATGGAGAAGAGACCTGTGTTAGGGTTGAGGGGAAGAGCTGTGAGAGCTCTTGTGAGGCGATCAATTTTCAATCTGGTCACCGCTGCTGACCAGTTGGCCACCACTAGGAACTTTCTGGGATTTGACATGATGACCTTGACACTAGAGAGCCAGCTGTTGTGGTGCGTCAGAACAACTTGTATGTTCGAAGGCAGCCAAGCCACCACTGGGCCTGCTCACACTAGCTCTTGACTTTTATAGACAGCGTTCGTCTCCCCTGGACTCTGTATCCGGCATGGGACTTGGCAACTTTTCCCGCCTGCGTGCAGTTTATTTTGTGTCATGCATTAACAAATATTTCCTACGCGTTTATTATTAATTTTTTATATAATTATATTTTAAGTTTGAGAGCTCTCAAACTCATAACTAACGCATTCCAAGTATTATAACAATCTCTGATAGGTCAGCTTCAGATATTCGCTACAATACGTAAGGTAACGAGAAAAAATAAGTATTAAAAGTCACTATACGTATTTGACTAAGTAACTTTGTTTTGAATCATCTGTGCGTCAGGTGGATGAAGGATCGAGCTCCTGGACCTTGCCTGTATTCACCGAGTTGTATTCACTTAGTTTGTGCTTGCGGGGGTTTAGCTCTGCTCTTTCGGCCGCCTCTCAACCATAATCTTAAAGTCTGCTGGCAGAGATTCCCAAGAGGCTTGCATAACAAAGTCTGCATGTATTTCGCAGACACCCCTCTCAGTGATTGTGTTTGTTATATCGAATGTATTGATGGTGTTTATTGCACACGTATGACCCTCTGTCCTGCGGTTTTGACAACAGAGACTGGAATACCTAGCTCTAGCTCAATTTCAGGTTTATCATATGCATATTTAGCTCCCTTGTCCGCATGATCATGCTGAGCAATATCTATGTGAGAAGATATCTATACAAATGAGAATCCAAAATTCTTCCATATATATCAATTATGCTGTTTATAATGGAAGTTGCAACAATTTCTAGTATCTATTTTGCATTTTGGGTTTTCAAATGTTCGAAAAGCTGATTTTAACTCAGTTAGTTATTGCATCATTTATTATGCACCCCATACCCATCTTGTAGGCGGTAGTGGAAAGGGTTACAGAGGCACATCATGGGCTCAGGGACTGAACCCCACAATTCATTTAGCTAAGCAAGTTACAATCTTCATGAGCTAGTTACAAAATTCAATGTATATCTTCACATCAACAATGGGCTCGAGACCGACCTCAAGTACAGGTTCTAAATTAAGCAACTGACATATGTGGAGAGCTAGTGTCACAATTTATATGTTTGTCCTGCACACCGCCCCCCATCCAGTGGGCAGCGGTGGATAGGTTACAATCACTTAGTTACTACCTACAGTTAGCAAACTGGGGATATTTGGCTAAAATTTCTGGTAGCAGATCATTTTGAATGAAATATTTACATATCTCTGGAACTAGTAGTCTCTGTGCATCTGTAGTTTGTGCATATTTTATAGGATGTTCCAGTGCTTGCTGTTGATATCTAAATCGAGCCATCAGCACTGTGCTTATGGGATCAAAAGTTATTTTTGAAGGAATCAATAATGTCAAGTGTTGTTGCTTTGACAAGAACTGGATTTTCGTTACTAGTTTTACTGATGGGCGTGTATGACACTTGCATTATAGGGTACAAATATAGTGGAATATCATTAGCTGGTACATTGCACACAAAGGAATATTCAACTCGATAAGGTTGGCAGCACTTCTACTCGACCATTTTTTTTATACCGATTGGTCGCTGGTGCGTTGGGAACATTTTGTTGCCTGCAAACTGCACCAGTTTGTCTTTAATACTGGTGATGCTGAATCTTTCGTTACCTTAGCACAAAGTGTCCTGTTTAGCTGCATAATTTGTTTCACATATGGCTGGGAGTTTCAGCTCCTTCCTCATTTCTGATGATTCTTGTGCATCTGGGAGTTGCAAGAATTATCCTAATGACTTCATTTTGAATTGTTTCTTATGCTTTCAGTTTCGTGCTGAGGTGATTCATAAGGTGCAGGACGTATAGTAGTCAACTAGGGACCTAATGGACATTCTGGCATATTTAATAATATTATCAATTTGCTTAACAACGTGGTTTTAGAAGTACTAGTCTTTATTTAGGCCTAAGCTGTAATTCACTTACAATTTCACTGTTAATATTTATATCGAGGAATTTGTATTGGCTGCATTTTTAAATATACTGATCAGTGACTATAAAAATGTAGGGAAGGGGGAAGTTGGAGGTTTGTTTTGGGGATTGTGAAACAATAAGCTCACAGTCAATACATTTATTTGCAATAGTGGTAACGGAGGTGTATGTGGAGCTGCCAGGTTTAGCTCTTAACACTGAACAAGACGAGACGGGCGGGACACAAGTCACCCACCGCTTTGTTCGTCTAACTCACCCGGAGGGAAAATTTTGAAGTCACTCCAGACTTTAACCCGCCTAGAGGGAAGGCGTAGCAAGAACTCCACAGAGAAGAGTCAGGACCCACTAATGCCTGAAGGCGCGGGTACAGGAGCCACTACTTGGGAGTTAAAGGTTGGAAGAGGGCCACTCCAACATGGAGGGAAGTTAGGAAAGAACCACCCCAACATCAAGGTAAGTTAGGGAGGATCCACGCCTACATGGAGGGAAGTTAAGTCACTCCACCCTAGTACGGGGAGCTAAGTAACGAATCTAACCTACCTGGAGGAAAGAGGTGTGGAAGGAAGCGCTGTAGGTGGGAGAGTGACTCGTACTGAGAGATGTCTCCGAGTAACCACAAGACGTGAGCTCGCTTGCTTGGCTCAGTGTGTTTGGCCTTTGCTCTTGGACGACACAGCGTTTGTGTTACATGTAGACAAGGTCCAGCAGTGAGGGTCATTTTCTCGCTGCCTTAAATATTAAAATACAAATTACGTCCCTTAGGGTGCCTCACAGCAGAGTCCTTGATCTTGTGGTCAATGGTTCTTAGGGTCGTGAGAAGTATGGATAGGCTACCTTGCTCACGCTATATTCCAATGCCTATAGGAAAACTATCTGATATGGCCAATGGACTAATATTTCTATTACATACACTCTGTCGAGGTTTCAGAATCATTGCACTGAGTGAATGGAAGTTGCGGAAGTTAGGCAGTATCAGACTGCATTTGCACTTTTTTTTTTTTTTTGAGATATATACAAGTGTTGTTGCATTCTTGTACCCGCACCGCGAAGAATTGTTGTTACAACCAAGTACTCATTTTACTGATAAGTTAAACAGAGGCTACAGTTAAGGATTTGCGCCCAGTAAATCCTCCCCGGCCAGGATACGAACCCATGACAAAGCGCTCGCGGAACGCCAGGCGAGTGTCTTACCACTACACCACGGAGACTGGTTGCATCTTAGCCCTAAATATATAATATTTGTGCTCATTAGCGTGATTTATGTTTGGAACAGAATACAATGACAAACAATGTGTACAGGAATGACTCACAAAGTTGTCCAAGAAACGTGGGTAAAACGTTCGCCCGATATGCGAACGTCACTGTCACAGACTCGAAAAGCCTGTCATAGTTCCCTCCCTTACAGCGAACGAATCGGCTTCGGTAACTTCACAGCGGACTGCTCATTTATTTATTTATATATATACAAGAAGGTACATTGGGATTGTGAGGATACATAATATAGTAATTACAATCTTGTAAAGCCATTTCACTCTTTCAAACTCGGGCTGACAGATCAGCATCATGTAGCAGTATCATTAATTCTACATGGAGATTCAAGTTCAAGTTCAAGTATGTTTATTGAGACATGAAAAAATACATCTCAAAGGGATACAGTAACTTAGGCTATCCACCCTCCCCCCCCCTAGCATGGAGATCAATCACCATGGAGCCTGGCTGCTCCTCACAGGTTTGGCATCAATGGGCTAGCTCTCAAGAGCTAATCGGTTGATCGGGCTCTTGCACATTATACCATCAAGCTCCTTGGTACTTGGTTGACATTTTACTTTTCGACCAATCAAAGCTCGCTAAAATGTCATTTGTCCCCTCTGGCTGAGTCACGGCACAGGGTGTAATGACGGAAGTGATGTCAGACCCATTGCGCGCTGCCTTTCCTTTCCTGATAAAAATATATGTTTGCATAATGGAAATAAATGATTTACAGTTCTGAAATCAGTTATTTCAAAAGTAACTGTCCAGCAGTTATTTTGGAGGAAAATGGCCAATGTGTGGCACTCACGGGGACAAAGTAATATCACGAAATAATGAGATAAATTGCATCGTTACACAATATTCTTGAAATAAAATACTGGTATAATTTTGAAAGTCAGGGTTTGAATGCTGAATACCACATATAGTAGTTATAAAATGTTCCAGAATGAAGAGGCGGAGTGGCAACCTGTGTAAAAGAAAAAGTGAACTTCTGCTTGAAAAATAATACAAAGGTTGAGAAAGCAGAACCAAAAACCAGCTTGGATGCAGTTTAATGAATAACGTGAAAGACCTCGTTTGTTAAGTGCTATGTAATCGACTCGTAATGATCTGATCATAGGAGCGTTCTTGGAGGATGGAAATGCAAAGGCTTGAAGATTCGAAAATAGCATCATCATGAGAGACTCAATTACAGTCAAATTGACTGAAGTTCTGACTGAAGATTTGTTAAAGGGAATCAAGATTCATAGTCTCTTAAGTTTGTATGCCAACCATCTTGGGCAATAAATCCGGCTTGATCTATAGTTCTGGCAACTACAAGAACCTGTTATATAATTTTGAGGTCGGGCTGAGTTTGGTAACTGAAAACAGGCAATTCGTTTTAAAACTGAACAGTTGAAAAAAGTGATAATTGAGATATAAGCAAGTATAGTGTTTCACGTCAACATATAGGCAAGTATTTTCTCTCAGGTGATTACAGATTTCAGTGTGGCACCGTAGCTCAGAATCTCTACGGTGAAGACTGCCAACAGTCCTCGTAACAGTGTATATGCCCGAAACGCTGTGCGTATTAGTGGCTTTAAGTATTGTATGTACCAGCTGTATCTATAAATCCAACAGTATGTTTGTAACTCATCTTCTATGTATGTACATTTACCTGAATAAACATTTTAATTTGGATTTGAATTACATGATGGGTCGCCAGTGTAACTGTTTTCTTAGTGTAGGAGTCTTGCAGGAGCTCAAGCAGCACTTGAGACATATATTATATCAAACATAAATGAAAACAGGAAATTAAAATCTAATTTAATCAAGAAAAGAGTTATGTAAAAAATCACAGTGGAGAACATGGGCGCTTCATGGACCAATGCCACAAAGAAAGGGGTATAAAAGGATAAGAATGGCCAGTACAGCAACCATTCCTCTAAAAATGTTAATGCATGTAGTGTTTATTTCACTGCTTCTATTGTCTACTTCTCTAGAAAGAGCGATCCCTTTTAACAGCAGTGATACCATATTAGGATTTGTAGACACTGTTGCCTTACTCGAGCACTCTATGAAAACATTACAAAACGTCAATTTTTGGGGCACCACAGTTCATTTTTGTACACATATGCCAAAGTTGCTATATGTATTAACAAATTTGAAGGATACATTGTAATAGGAAATATAAAACTGAAAGAGCTAGACATTCCGAGGCAAGTACCGTGAGATGCTTATGAGTGTTGTTGAGTAAAATATAAGTTGACTTCCTGATATTTGCCAGATAATGTATTTAATCTCGAGGGATTGTTTACTGTTTTACGGCAATGTGATGTTATAGTGGCTAGAATACGCCTGGGATATAGACGTATCTGGCAGCTTTCTCAAAACCCAAATGTCGAGTACACAATGTGTCAACTTTGTGTAAGAGAAAACATGCACTCTCTTGAACATTATATTGTAGAATGTCCCATATTGAGTGACTTTCGCCCTCCTGGGCTAAGGTATGCTGAACTCTGTAATTACTATATGAGTACTGGAACACTTGTTGATATATTGGACTTGTATCCAAGATTAACCATGTAATGTATCAATTATACAATGTATGTATGTGATGTAACTATATAACCTGAGCTTGTAAAAGCACCTTAGTCACCTTCAGTGATTAAGTGCTTAATTGCACACTAGTTTCTCTATCAGCTATCTCACCCTGTCAGAGTAAAAGAGACAAATGTATGTGAATGCATGTATGTGTGTATATATGTATGTATATATATGTATATGTACGTATATGTGTATGTATGTGTATAAAGTATATATGGAAGCTGATCAGAATTACATTTCACCTTTGTAAATGCACATTAATGACACTATGTAAAAGACACATCGAACACTTTATGTAGGGTATACGTAAATCTGTGTATCTATGTATTTACGTATATAGGTTAGCTTAGCATTTTAAAAGCACCGAATCACCTTCTGTGGTTGATTGTTTAATAAACCCTTGACCTGTATGTTTAACACTTCTCTAACCCTGTCCATGGAGGACAGAAGAAAATGTATATATGCTGGTTAGCATTGTAAATGTGTGGCCACGTCTGTGGTAGAAAATAATAATAATAATAATAATAATAATAAACTGTTTCTTGAGGAAAACCGCCGTGGGAAGTGCAGCTTAGTGGGCGAAACTTTACTGCGCGTCTCCCACACCAAAGTTCCTCTTCCCACACTCCATAGTCAGCTGTTGTTGCACCATCAGCGTCCGGCCCGCAGTCTCACACAGGAAAATGCAAATCAATTCCCAGACTAATATTCATACATAGAATGAGGGAAAACAAACTACACAATGTTTTGTTAGCCGCTGAAGTTAAATACTAAACAATATTTCGGGTTTGTTACCAATAAGTTGCAGCTGGTCATAATTGCAAAAACTAAATAAATCAATAGTTTTCTTCTCCAACAAATCATTGCTAGCAGTCAACGTTCCTGAATTATGGAATTTGTTTATTCTTGGTGTGGAATGGGGTGTAGAGTGCTTAGCCTCAAATAACCGTCCAGTTATCTTTAAGAGTAAGCAAAGCCTCATCACAGGGCGCTCATTCTTCATAGTTTTACTGAGATTGTTAGAGGTAGATGGCACTAATAATGAATGTGGTAGTGTCATCGAAACTTTTAAAATACTGAACAACTTGGAGGATATTAATCCAGACCACTTCTTCAAAAGGTGTAACACGAACAAGGAGCAACAGATTCAAGCTCAACAAGCCACATTACGGGACAGAAAACAGGAGATGCTTTTTTACCCATAGGGTGAAACCGCCTATCAGCCTAAGCCGTAAATGTCAAAACCCTGCACCAGTTTAAGATCCTAATAGATAAAATCCTCGGGAGCATGACTGACTTACTCCATCAGGGACACCAATGGCGGCCATTGACACACCACGCCTCCCATACTTCATCTGCCGCTTATGAAATAAATACAATTAGAACAATTGACTAAACTAAACAAAATGCATATTATGACCAGTCACATAGACATGTTATGACCAGTAACATTAGACATGTTGTGACCAGTAACATTAGACATGTTATGACCAGTAACATTAGACATGTTGTGACCAGTCACAGACATGTTGTGACCAGTCACAGACATGTTGTGACCAGTCACAGACATGTTATGACCAGTCACAGACATGTTGTGACCAGTCACAGACATGTTATGACCAGTCACAGACATGTTATGACCAGTAACATTAGACATGTTGTGACCAGTAACATTAGACATGTTGTGACCAGTAACATTAGACATGTTATGACCAGTCACATAGACATGTTGTGACCAGTAACATTAGACATGTTATGACCAGTCACATAGACATGTTGTGACCAGTAACATTAGACATGTTATGACCAGTCACATAGACATGTTGTGACCAGTAACATTAGACATGTTGTGACCAGTAACATAGACATGTTGTGACCAGTCACATAGACATGTTATGACCAGTAACATTAGACATGTATGACCAGTCACATAGACATGTTATGACCAGTAACATTAGACATGTATGACCAGTCACATAGACATGTTATGACCAGTAACATTAGACATGTATGACCAGTAACATTAGACATGTTGTGACCAGTCACAGACATGTTGTGACCAGTCACAGACATGTTATGACCAGTCACAGACATGTTATGACCAGTAACATTAGACATGTTATGACCAGTCACAGACATGTTGTGACCAGTCACAGACATGTTATGACCAGTCACAGACATGTTATGACCAGTCACAGACATGTTGTGACCAGTCACAGACATGTTGTGACCAGTAACATTAGACATGTTGTGACCAGTAACATTAGACATGTTGTGACCAGTAACATTAGACATGTTGTGACCAGTCACATAGACATGTTGTGACCAGTCACAGACATGTTGTGACCAGTCACAGACATGTTGTGACCAGTCACAGACATGTTGTGACCAGTCACAGACATGTTGTGACCAGTCACAGACATGTTATGACCAGTCACAGACATGTTGTGACCAGTCACAGACATGTTATGACCAGTCACAGACATGTTATGACCAGTCACAGACATGTTGTGACGAGTCAGAGACATGTTATGACCAGTCACAGACATGTTGTGACCAGTCACAGACATGTTATGACCAGTCACAGACATGTTATGACCAGTCACAGACATGTTGTGACGAGTCACAGACATGTTATGACCAGTCACAGACATGTTGTGACCAGTAACAGACATGTTGTGACCAGTAACAGACATGTTGTGACCAGTCACAGACATGTGGCCAGTAACAGAGAGAGGATCGTTTTCATTAACTAGGGAATGTGTGGAAGCCCCGTCATCTTTGCTCTGTTCGTCGCATGACAACATCCACCAAGACAGTTCCAGGAAAGAGAGGCACGTACGCGCTGTTATGTCACGGATCAGGTTCGAGCATTGGCCGGAGCGGGCATACGTAGTGGAGGAGCGAACGTTTACTTGTAACCCAAGATCCTGCGACACCAGCGGTCGGTACCGTGCTCACTTCCGTTAAGTTACACCATGACTGCTGTACAGATGGACGTCCTGCCTCCTCATCAGTGTGTGTGTGACACATCACTTGTCTAAACTATACGTGTATGTTGGGCACCTTGTGGGTCATAGTGGAGAGTACTTGTATGTCGAGTGATAATCAACTATACTTCATTAACAAACATAACGCCTCCAGGTACCTCCATTAATCAAACACAATGCCTCCATGCAGGTACCGATATTAACGTTCATTAATGTCTAATATATGGTCCATTAACTTAACAGAATTACTCCAAGTCCCTCCATTAGAGAAACAATACTTCAGGTTTCCTCAGTTAGCGAAGAATAATAACTTCAACTTCCTCATTAGCGACACATCTCAGGTCCACCACAAGCGACACATCTCAGGTCTACCACTAGCGACACATCTCAGGTCCACCACTAGCGACACATCTCAGGTCCACCACTAGCGACACATCTCAGGTCCACCACAAGCGACACATCTCAGGTCTACCACTAGCGACACATCTCAGGTCCACCACTAGCGACACATCTCAGGTCCACCACTAGCGTCACATCTCAGGTCCACCACAAGCGACACATCTCAGGTCCACCACTAGCGACACATCTCAGGTCCACCACTAGCGACACATCTCAGGTCCACCACTAGCGACACATCTCAGGTCCACCACTAGCGTCACATCTCAGGTCCACCACTAGCGACACATCTCAGGTCCACCACTAGCGACACATCTCAGGTCCACCATTAGCGACACATCTCAGGTCCACCACTAGCGACACATCTCAGGTCCACCACTAGCGTCACATCTCAGGTCCACCACAAGCGACACATCTCAGGTCCACCACTAGCGACACATCTCAGGTCCACCACTAGCGTTACATCTCAGGTCCACCACTAGCGACACATCTCAGGTCCACCACTAGCGTTACATCTCAGGTCCACCACAAGCGACACATCTCAGGTCCACCACTAGCGACACATCTCAGGTCCACCACTAGCGACACATCTCAGGTCCACCACTAGCGACACATCTCAGGTCCACCACTAGCGACACATCTCAGGTCCACCACTAGCGACACATCTCAGGTCCACCACTAGCGTCACATCTCAGGTCCACCACAAGCGACACATCTCAGGTCCACCACTAGCGACACATCTCAGGTCCACCACTAGCGTTACATCTCAGGTCCACCACTAGCGACACATCTCAGGTCCACCACTAGCGTCACATCTCAGGTCCACCACAAGCGACACATCTCAGGTCCACCACTAGCGACACATCTCAGGTCCACCACAAGCGACACATCTCAGGTCCACCACTAGCGACACATCTCAGGTCCACCACTAGCGACACATCTCAGGTCCACCACTAGCGACACATCTCAGGTCCACCACCAGCGACACATCTCAGGTCCAACGGCTAGAATCTGACGTGCAACCTTCACACGTGTGCTGCCAGGACTAAAATTTAACTGTTTTGACAGTTAAATTCAGTTACGGTTTCGGCGGGTAGGCGGTTCCATGGGTTTATAACCCTGTGGGTGAAAAAAAAATCTACTATTCTCAGTCCTACATTGTGGCTTGTTGAACTTGAAACACGCCTAGTACTAGCCTGGTATACCTAGAAGCCTAGTGCTAGTCTGGTATACCTAGAAGCCTAGTGCTAGTCTGGTATACCTAGAAGCCTAGTGCTAGTCTGGTATACCTAGAAGCCTAGTACTAGTCTGGTATACCTAGAATCCTAGTACTAGTCTGGTATACCTAGAAGCCTAGTACTAGTCTGGTATACCTAGAAGCCTAGTACTAGTCTGGTATACCTAGAAGCCTAGTACTAGGCTGGTATACCTAGAAGCCTAGTACTAGTCTGGTATACCTAGAAGCCTAGTACTAGCCTGGTATACCTAGAAGCCTAGTGCTAGTCTGGTATACCTAGAAGCCTAGTGCTAGTCTGGTATACCTAGAAGCCTAGTACTAGTCTGGTATACCTAGAATCCTAGTACTAGTCTGGTATACCTAGAAGCCTAGTACTAGTCTGGTATACCTAGAAGCCTAGTACTAGTCTGGTATACCTAGAAGCCTAGTACTAGGCTGGTATACCTAGAAGCCTAGTACTAGTCTGGTATACCTAGAAGCCTAGTACTAGTCTGGTATACCTAGAAGCCTAGTACTAGCCTGGTATACCTAGAAGCCTAGTACTAGTCTGGTATACCTAGAATCCTAGTGCTAGTCTGGTATACCTAGAAGCCTAGTACTAGTATGGTATACCTAGAAGCCTAGTGCTAGTCTGGTATACCTAAAAGCCTAGTACTAGTCTGGTATACCTAGAGGCCTAGTGCTAGTCAGGTATACCTAGAAGCCTAGTACTAGTCTGGTATACCTAGAGGCCTAGTGCTAGTCAGGTATACCTAGAAGCCTAGTACTAGCCTAGTATACAAGTATTCTGGATTACTGATACTTGTCTTCTGATATATGATTCTCTGGAAGAGGAGCCTTTTTGGCTTATCTACCCGAGGGCAAGGCTCTCGTGCGGTCACCCATCCAGTTACCAACCGGATGTTGTTTATCCTGACTGAGTGAGTGACGTGAGCGTCACAATTGCACCACGCTAGCTCTTGGTGTGGGAAGTCTTGTTTCCAGTGGATATCGGGCCCACCGTCCACCACTCAGGTCATCCATATTAGTCATAAAGGACTTTACGGACCTCTTCCGCCGGAGTCTTCCACTGTCTACGTGTAGAGGATGAATGGTCCATGTGCGTCCGGTGACATGGTAGATGTCTGCCTCCTTGGGGAAGACCTGGTGGCTCTTTGCTCTACTGAGAGTGACTTAGTAGTTCCTGACATAGAAGATGACCAGGTAGTTTCCGTCCCAGGTGACCGGGACGGTTTCCCACGTCGAGGGAATTAGTTCGGGTCATTACCGGATGTCGTCCTGTGTCAGAGTGCATTTCAACTCCACAGAGACGGAGTTTCTGTGGAGTTTTTTGTCTGCCATCAGGGAACCCAGTGGTCATTTTTGGTCGGTTTAACGTCGTCCTTCAACGACATAGTTTATAATGAAAATGATGTCAACCATCATGACGTTGAAACTGGATTGGGATTCCGTTGAGTTTTGGTTTAGATATGATCGTCTTTAATTATGGAATTTTGCGTGGTCATGCGCACACCCGCCTCCTCCCGTCCCCCACCAACCCTTAACTGAACCCCCACAAACACACCACTGTATGTACCCAACCTTCGCGTACTATGGTCACACCACCGTGGGAGAGGGTGCCACCTCTGGTGCAATTGTAGGGACCCACAGCCTCGAAGAAAATAAAGAGCTCTCAACTATATGTATAACAAATCTCTTATTATTATTATTAACATCTTTATTGACAAAATTAATTACAATTTTGCCTAATCTGAGGATTTTGATAGTCTTATTAAAGTGAGGATAATGCTAGTATTCACTGTCACGCAGGACAGAGGGTCATACACAAGACAATACTGTAGGTCTAAACTGTAGGCTGAAGTACATATATATCACGGTTACAATCAATGTTTTAATGTGTGGATATGTGAAAACAACTTTCTATTGTGCACTGCCACACAAGGGCAGGGATGGGTTCATAAGTGATGCAGCTTAGAAGTAATATACAAATCTCTAACCCTGTCCATGGAGGACAGAAGAAAATGTATATATGCTGGTTAGCATTGTTAATGTGTGGCCACGTCTGTGGTAGAAAATAATAACACAAAAATTCTTATATATATATATACATACATATATATATATACATACATATATATATATATATATATATATATATATATATATATATATATATATATATATATATATATATATATATATATATATATATATATATATATATATATATATATATATATATATATATATATATATATATATATATATATATATATTGTTTTGGTAAAATGACTAATAAGGAAGTCATTAGTCATAAAAGTACCTATTAAGGAAGATGGAATGCCATGCACATTAAAAAAAAAAATAAAAACAAAGTAAATAAAACTGCTATGTAGATCTCTTCACGGTGTGGTAACTGCAGGATAAAGTACAAAGAATGAAAAAACTTAAATATTTTAATATAACAAAAATGACTTTAACAATATATAAAAAAATAAAAATTCTCAATGACTTGGCTTAATAACACAGTGCAAAAATATAAAAACAAACAGACAAGTGAACGTTATGTTAAGATCAAAATAAATGATGCTGGAATACAAAATTGTACAAAACTGCGTAAATCTACCACCACACAGGGTAGTGTGGAAGCAGATGTCGCAGGTATAAACACTGAAGAGTATTCTGCTTAGTGGTGGATTGATTGATGATTGATGAAGATTAAGCCACAAAAGAGGTGGCACGGGCATGAATAGCCCGTAGGTGGTGGTGGCCCTTTTGAGCCATTACCAGTATCAAGAGCTGATACTGGAGATATGTGGAGGTGCAACTGCACCCTGCGTGACGGGAGATGTCTCTCGTGTTGGTGGTGGCTGACTGGCTTCTATATACACGCGGGTTTGACCGTGCAGGTGGCACTGGTGTGTCGGTAATTGCCAGCTGGCAGACGCAAATTATCATGGTGCTTGTTGACCAGCGAGTGGCGCGGGCCTCAACGCAGACGCCAGGTGTCCTGGGATCTGGGGTACTAGGGTGAAGAGGGTGGTGCAATCTTGTCTAGACGCATATAGTTATTGTTCCTCTTGTTGTTAATTCG